AAACCCGACTCAGAGTGGTCAAAACATTCATATTTCTTTATCCAATCATCTTCCGGAAGAGAGAGCCCTGCACAGCCCAAAGCCAGTTGCAGAATCTCTAACATTAGAAGCTAAAAATGTGTCTCATACAGGTCTTATTTTGGTACTTTACACGTCACACATAGTTTTGATACAAACAACTCCTTATATGTTACTAGTTTCTCTTTTTGTTTGGGTTCCTGTTTTTATTTATATGCTTGTATAGCTCTACACTAACTTCCTGTTTTACAGTCTGGCTGAGCACTTAGTTTGAGTCAAAAGTGGCCTTGCTTTACAAGCCTTTATTACTAAAATACATAAAACAATATAATCAGAAAATAAGCACTAAGAATATATGTTTGTTCCTTAACACAGCCTCAAATGAGACTGCAGGAAGCCATCAACCAAAGAGCGAACTGACTGCAGACTGGTCAAGCTGCACAAAGTTGCAGTGAACCTGATGGTTCCCTGTTTCCTGATCTAGAAGATGGAGATTAAAATTCAAGATTAATTCTTAAATAAAATCCTTATAATGTAGTCTCCTGTCTTTATGTGTGTTTTTGGTTTCAAACATTTCAGTTGAAACTGTTACATTTCTAAAAAGCAAAACCAAATCTTGTGGTCACACAAAAGAAACAGGACCTGAAACAGAGAGGCTTTAAGGGACACCAGAAAATCTGATATCCTAACCATTAAATACTCACTGAAACAGTAAAAAAACAAAAAAACAGTACCTAGATGGGGGAAAGGCTGATCCTGGTAAACTGGGACAAACTACAAGCTGAAGATGTTATCAAGGAAATTGCTTCAGGAGCTTTGGATAAAAGTATCAGAAGGACGTTTGTGTGCTGATGAATACATCCAAAGTAAAAAATAAACCACAATGGCAAAACACCAGACAGAGAGAGTACAGGAAGAGAGGGAAATTTGATTTATCTGACTTTTAACCCTGTGTGGATTGGAGATAATCCCCCAAAATAAATTCAAAGTGCTACATCGAGTTCTTGTTTTTTAAGTCTTTAAAGATGTATAATATACAATCATTTCACCCTGGAAAAAGAGCAGTTCAAAGACATTACTAAACGCTCAAAATTACCATTTATGCCCATGATGAGTGTGTGTGCCTTTCTGATTCACATCCTGTGAATCAGATCAGATCCGTCGCTATTTCACCTGGTATCTGTGTATAGCAACTTCACAGCTGTGGAAATTTTACTGAAGCTTTCGATTGAGATGAAATTTTACAAACGACTTTTTCATAGATCAGGGTTAATATGATCACCGGTTTATTCTTCATTTGTATTGTCATTATTGCTAAAAACAGAGGAAAACATGATGCCTGTGCCTGAAGATTACCACTGAATACAGAGCTAACAGATCAACTGAAGATGCCAGTGTTACAACACTCCACACCACCATCTCCCACCTTGAACAACAGGGGCGTCACGCCAGGCTGCTCTTTGTTGACTTTTGTGCTGCCTTTAATACGATATTCCCGGACAGACTGATATCTGCTGGATATCAGATTTCCTTTTACCACCTGCTGCTGGATCAGACTTTCTCTCAGACCATGTACAGAGAGTTAGAGTGGGGCCTCATCTTTCCCCAGCCCTTAGCCTTAACACTGGCTCTCCACAAGGCTGTGTACCGAGTCTCCTGCTGTACACATGACTGTGTCAGTACCCACCCAGACACTACAGTAAGTTTGTAGATGATACCACTGTGGTGGGACTCATCTCTGGTGGTGATGAGACAGCATACAGAGTTGAGGTTCAGAGGCTGTCGGATTGGTGTGCAAACTACAACTTGGACCTCAATATCACCAAGACAAAAGAGCTGGCAATCAACTTCAGAGGCAGGAAGTCTTTGCTGCAGCCGTGGACATGGAAAGGGGGGCCAGCTTTAAGTTCCTGGGTGTGCACATAGACACAGACCTCTAATGGAGCTTAAACACCTTGGCGGTTTTAAAGAAGGCCCAACAGCCTCTCCATTTTCTGAAAATCCTCAGAAAGGAGCTGCTGATCGTCTTCTACTGTTGCTCCATTGAAAGTGTGCTGACATACTCACACTGACGTGAGACAGTTTCCAGTTTAGTTGTACCATCGTACTAAGTATGACTGTCCAATGACAAAAAAAGAAGAAGAAAGTTATATTATCTGAATAAACAAAACCTCTGGCTTCCATTAGTGCCAGTCCTCCAACACTAGCACCTTACATCACTTTAGGTGGTTTTACCACCTGACATTTGATTTATCACTGCCTGAAAATGAAACAGCATAAGAAAGAGCAGTCACTGTATCACCTGTGCTGTTGCTGTAGAACAGACAGCAAAGCTTACAGACAAGCGTTCCATTGCTTAAATGTTGCAGTGACTAAATTTGATTAATTTTAATTTGATGGTATATGGACCACAGGAACTCCAATCTATTGAACACACCGAGTGCTTTCCTACAGAATGAAGAGCAGGCAGCAGGTGTTGTACAGGTACACAGTTTAATAGTTATTATAGACATTTTATGTACATTTCAACAGCTGTATTCTATGTGGTACAGCCTTTAAAATCTGCTGTTCATAGTTTGTAAATAAAAAACAAAACACAAAACTCATCAAATCTCGCAAACAGAATTTTTTTTTTTCATTTTTCGGAAGACTAAAAAAAATATTTTATTGTATTAATCATGCATTACACAAACGAGAGTTACACAGTAAACTGTAGCATTGGTGAAAATAAAAGAAAAAAATTATATAATAATAAAACTGTGGATCGTAACAAACCAGAACAACAAATTAGACTTCCCCCTGTGGGCCAGCCAGTGAGACAGCAGCTTTTCAAAGATTGAAGCGATATGATGGAGGCGGAGGAGCAGAAGTCTCAGCCTGAACCAAACAAAGCTGTAACTTCACCTGTTCACACTCGAACTGAGCTCGTGCTGCATTCAGGTACCATTTCCCAGCTCATTAAACCAATTATTTGCCGGTTTGTTATTGGAAGTTGGCCTTTAACTGGAGCAGCCCTGCGTTCAAATCTGTGTCCATCAAGCTATTCTTTGCCCTATTTGAGGACAAAACTTGTTTTTACATAAATTAAATTTGCTTATTACTAATCAACAAATTTTAAAAAACAAAACAAAGCAAAAGAACCCCCCACAGTGACCACTTTATTATAGGTACCTAAACACGGATGGTGTTTAGTACAGCTGCCTTGCTGTAAGATCTGTCTTCACAAATATCAGAATATTCCACTTAGTGATAGTGTCAAAAATGCATACTTGCATGTGTAAGAGTGTGTACACGTATACAAATGAGTCAGTTCTGTGGGTTCAACATATAAAATGTGGAACTCTGACACAAGTGAGTGTACATAAAATATAATAAAAAAAAACTACTTTGATGGGTCAGAATATTAGAAACACCTCTCAACCTGATGAGATTTTGTAGTTTATACCCATGACCTCCCTTCAGATGATAACAAAAAAAAAATTACAGCCATATCAAAATGATCTTTATGGCAGCTGTATTATACTATAACAAACTGCTCATGTGTACAGTGTACACAACATTTTAAAACTTCATTTCTTAAAAAACAAACAAACAAACAGAGCTAATTAGATGCCAAATATATTGACTGTGAGGAAAAGGCATCATTTCAGCAAGTTGTGTATTTGTAGTTCAAGAAGTTCTCACCTGTAAAACCTTTTTGCTATGACCTCACGTCATTTTATCCAGTCTACATAAACAAGGTCATATAAGACTGGCCTAGGAAGGAGTTGGTCAGGCTTTTTTTCCCCCCAGTGATTTTATCGGCTGCAGTGACAAAGACTAGATACTGCAGTGTAAATTAGAATGAACCTGGTAAGCATTTGGCACCTTGCATTTATTCATAGGTCTGCATTTGTATGCTTGGATTACATTTTCTATGCAAATTAATTTTGTTTGTACATTTCTTTACAGGACATAATTAGTTCTGTCTTACACCAGCATTAAGTCGGCATATAAATGTAACTTTCTTATGCCAAATAAGTCTTTTAAAAATGTAACTTTTTAAAACTAATTCTAGCATAAGACAAAGCTAATAGTTAACATGCCAAGGCTGTTGTGTAAAAGACGCAAGGGTTTCACTGTGGAGTAATTAAAATGTATCTTGTGCTTGGAGTCTTTCAGTTGATGATATTGGACTTGCATGCTCTACCCTCTGGAGCAAACACCTTATCACTGTGATAAGCTGCTGTTTCACACTGGAATGTGTGCCATGTTAGACATTAGCTCGAATGGACAAATGTATATTAAAGGTTGATATTTAACATCAGGACAGACACTAACAGATACAGCTGACCCTCTCCTCAGCTGTCTCAACACTCAGCAGCAGCAGTTCCTGTGTTTACATGATCTGAGATCAGGGCCCAAAACTGAAGCCAGACGTCCTGACATATCAGACTGAGGTGAGGTTTTTGGTTGATGGGTCATCCATTGTGGCAGTAACTATATTGTGGATTTTTAAAAAGAATTAAAAAGGACTATAAAAACTAGATTTGTTTTACACAAACAAAAATATGTAACTACAGTAATGCTGAATCCTCCGCTTGTTACACTGTTAAACGTGGGGCTCTGATAGGCCCAGCAGGAGGCTGAGGTCGGTGAGTATTAACCAAACTTTCATTCTCACCAAAACATTCTCAGAGGCAAAAACAAAATCTGATATTAAATCCATTCTGTTTGCTCAAAACATATTTCTTCTTAATTTTTCCCCATTTACAAACTGTAAAACTTGCTTTGCAGAAGCTTTAGTTCAGATTTAATTATTAAAAAGTGAAAGAGAGAAAAAAACAAGTTCAAACATCACATGTTCTGTTCTCAGGTTGACGTTTCTGAAGGTTTAAAGGAAAAATCCCCCTCAGATGTGACTCCAACATCTGATTAACCTCCGGGCTTTCTCTTTAGTACAGTTCCTCAGGCAGTCTTAAAGCAGGGTGTAATGTGGCTAATATGATTTCACTGTCACTAAACAGATGCTGAAATTGTTGTGACAGGAGGAGTGTTTCCATGGACACAAGTACCCCTATTCTGATCATACTATGGATGATACATAGAACAGCTTACAGCTTCCTGTGTTGGGACACGGGCATCTCGAATAATGTCCACCAGTGGAACAGCTTAGATGTTGTATGATTATAAATCGGCAAATGTTTTTTGAGCAGCTAATTAAAATGCACTTTAAACTCATGCACATATGAATTAGACTACACACAAAACACTTGATTACTAGGTATTTTTGCAACTTGGAAATCATTTTGAACAGGCCAAACGTCTAAAATCAACTTAAATAGCTGCTACTTTTCAGTGTTTCGGCATTTAAAGATTGATGATAGTCTATGACATAGTTCAATTTTTTGTTTCTGTGCAGGTAGCTGGCCGCATTCAGAAACCTGGGTCAGATGTTTGCTTGTTGCTTTTCAGTTTTCTTTCACATGAATCCAGCCAATCAGGGACATGTTGTTGTTTCTTCAGACTGTTTTGTCTGGACAGGAGATCAGTGTAATGAGAGGATGTTTTACATATGCTCTCTCCTGAGGCAGGCGAGAGCCAGTACAAAACTGTACTCAACTCGAATTCTTTGCTACTCTATATTTTTGCTAGTTCAACTAGTGGTTAGCTCTACTAAATGGATTACAGTAGGAGAAAGTGCAGACTTTGGAGACTCATTAGAATGCTCCACTCTTGGACATTTCTAGCTGTATCACCTCATGTGAAGTGTCAGACTGGGAGAGCAGACTGCTTAATGCACTACAGTTGTGCTTAGATTTGGTTTCATATGCCACTGAAGCTTCAACACCTGGGGAGTAATAGAGCTTTTATAATGTATAACAAACATAGAGAAAACACTGGCAGCCAATTATAACTGTTCGGGACTGCAAGCCTGCTCTGAACTGCCTTGAAAGTAGAGTTCTTTAGAGTTATTGGAGAAAAATTAGCCAAATGGGGGTGAATTCAATACAGATTCCAGGCAACTTCTCACGAGGGCCATTTTTCAAGTTGTAACTGTCTCCACTCAGACATGCCTGAACATTTAGCATTGACTCAGCATTGAGTCCAGTGGGACAGAAAGAGAAACAGGGGAAAGGTGCAAAAATGTCCCCACAACATGTAGACTGTAGTGCTACGATTCCACAGTTTAATGTGCTACATTTGACCGCCGTATTACGATGCTAAATGACAACAGTAAGAAATAAAAGAGCGATGGGTTAACTCATCTAGATGTCAGGCTGCTTTCCTTGGCCAGCTCTGACCAGGTCTAATTTTGGGGGGATTTTTCCTTTACGTCTGCCCTCAGCTCCAGCTCTTCTGTCTGGGATCAGGAGTCACAGTAGTGTTAGTGAATAGAGACAGGCATGTAGTGTCAAAGCTACCTCAGGGATTTGTGAGGGGCCAGATGGGTTTCAGGCAAGCTGCTCCAAGTTGATCATTAAACACGTTTCTGCTGTCTCTTAGCTGTAGGGAGATCACACCACTTCACCTCTTAACTTAAAAATTTGTGTAAGAAACCTGTGTGTGTTTGTTCAGTTGTCCGTTGGAGATTCTCCAGTCTTTCATATTAATATATATTCTGTGTTCAGAGACCTGAACAGACCTGAATCCTGTTTGTGTACAGACTAGCCCCTCTCTCTCTTTGTCTGTCTCTGTATCCCTCACCTCGAGGTCATCTCCTCTTTTTTGTTTTCTTTTTTCTGTTGTTTAAATCTTCTCTTCCTCGTCTATACGTAGACTCTGGCAAGGGCGTCGGCTCCAGCGGAGGCAATGTAGGCCTTGGAGGGGTGGAAGGCCACGTCGTAGATGGCCTCCTCGCTCTTCTTACGATGAGCTGTGATCTCTTGAACACACGTTTTACTGTCTAGGTTCCACAGACGCAGAGAGCAGTCGTGACCTGAGGAGAAGAAAAAAATGTAAGCCATTATGTCAATGTTGTTACAAAGTAATTTAATTGCACAAACCAAACTCATTTCCGTTTCTTTTGACTTGAGAAGTGATAGAAACAAACGATTAATGTTATATTAAAATCTTGAATGCACTGACAGTTTTGTCATACAGTTGCCTTAACTGCCATAACATGAGCAGAAGCAGGAGACTTACGAAGGCACATGTGCTTAGTTCCTGTGATCAAAACTGACCCTGCACTGAGCCTAATCTATCTTAGCTGCTACCTGGACTAACTGCAAACTATCTTATGTACATAGAAAGTGAGTGAAAGAGGTCAGCTAATTAATCTCTAGCTCTCTGTGCTTAAATAGCTGTAAAATTAGCTTGCTCTGTAATGTTTCAAATTAACTACTGCCAGATTTGTCTGCACAGTGTCTCCCAACCCTTTGGAGCCACGGCACATATTTCACATTAGAAAAAAATCACACAGCACACCATCAAACCAAAAATGTCACAAAAAGCACATTGATAATTTTCCCCCGTGCATCAGGCAGAGTGGAATTGGTTTGGTTTGTCCCCAGTGTACCTTTTTTGCTTTCTGACCACTACTCATGTTAGGGCCTTCATCTGGGTCAGAATTTTCTCCAGGACCCAGGTCAGATTGACTACTTGTTCTTTTCAAATATTTATCTATTGCTATTACGCACTGCATTGTCTCATTCACAGCATGACTGTTATGTCATTTCTTCTTCGTCTTCTGTTTTACTGGCAGTTGGCATTCTATTTAATTAGAGTAGGTAGTTTTACTGCCCTCTAGTGGAAGAGAATGTAATTCTCCAAAAGTTGATTTTGTTCATCTCTTGTAGCGTTTACATGAGATTACAATAGAATGTAATTGTTCTGCCCGTTACTCACGCCAGTCATTTAGAGTACTAATCAGGTGGAACCAGATAATCTTTCACGGCACACAGTGGTTGGGAAACACTGGTCTAGCAAAGGACAGGAACAAGCTACAATGCATACATAGCCATATAAGCACAAAGCATATCATCTCTCATTTCTAACATTTTAAGTATCAAAAAATTAAGAGAGTGAGAAAAACTATGTGAACCTTAGTGCTTCCAAACCTACTACGCCATTAGGAATCAAGAGAGTAAGTAGCAACCAGATTCTGCTACTCAGATGAACTTAAGTAATTATCAGTGAGTATGAGAACCTGTGCAACAGGAGAAGTTCTTGGCAGTTTGAAGCTTTTAAAAAGATGATATTGGAGAAGAAATTCTTTCTGCCCTTCAGTTTGGGAAGGGTTATAAGGAGACTTCTAAACAGTTTAAAGTCCAGCGTTCTAAAGTGAAAAAGATTCTAAAAGAATAAATTAAGCCCATAAAGAAATGTCAACAACCCACAATGAACTGAACCAATGTTTAGTGTTATGCCACACACTGTCTGTAATAATAATGGTATAAATGTTTACATGCACTGTAGCCGGGCTCTCTCAAAGGATAAAAAGCTAACATGCAAGGAGCAGCTAGGCAGAAACTGAATTCACCACTGACATGCTGTCATCCTTAAAACCTTGATTAAATATTGTTGAACACGCCAATATATTGGTAAGGCGATTTCTTAGTATTGCCAAATAATTTTAATTGTTCTGCTGATAACTGAAAAATAAATAAGGAAGGAGAGACAAAAAAAAAAAAGATCGTTCAACCATGTTAAGAGGGTTGCCATTGGATAGTTTGTCCACCAGACTGCAGTATGCTCGGATCAGCTGGTTGCCGTTTCCCAACAGGGACGTTGCAGTTGGGCAGAGCAAGTAATCCAAGACTTCTCGTGTCAATAAAACAAAACTATTTTTAAATTTCATTTTCATACAATCTTGGTAAGGACTCAAATGATTACACCTAACAATTTTTAGGGAAATCCATTTATATTTTGTGTGTCTAGAAGATAAAGCTTTATTGGCCAATATATATTGCCTATTTTTAAAAAAATCACCAAATATTGGTCTGAAAATACTACATCAGTCAGGCTCTACAACCATCATGCCATCACCATGACAATAAATTGCAATATTATGTGGAAATGCAGTCTGTGCCCCAAGTGAAACTGAGTGCAGCTATTCTGTGCCCTGACAAACATCCACAGCTGGAAACTGAGCATATTTCCAGCCCAAGACAAGAGACCTGCTGACTTGTGGTTAGCAGGCATTTTTTGAAAGGTCAGAGAAACTGAGTACTTGAATGTGTGACAGGACCAGTGAAACCTGCATCACAGCCTGCTCTTTGGATCCTGCTATCAAACCCCAATTGTCCAAATAGGCTAAGATGTGACCACTCCTCACATTGAGCTGACAGTTCGTTAATACATTTGGTCAAAGTACACAGAGTGAAACAGTGGATGGAAATCAGTGTGAACGGCTGATGTCAAACTGAATGTTACAACCTGAGACACCAAAAGTGTTTTTGTGGGGGTGTGCCTATCAGACTGTGATAGGAAAGTGCATCACCTTTTGGGGCTGACAACCTGAACAGAACTTGGGCCAAAGACATCTGACCTCAATATGGAGAGGCACCAGTGGGTTGTCTGGGGAACCAGTGATCCAAACATAGATGGGCAATGCCTGCACCATGAGCTCTGTCACTAAGCCTGATTAATGTGTCTAAATGAAATGTGGAAAATCTTGGATGGAAGAGCTGTGGGGGCACCTGTGTTTAGATTGTGAGACAGGGCCAAACAAACTGTCAGTAATGGATCTATAGGTGGTGGTTAACTAAATCAGCTTTTTCCAGATCCTGTCTATAGCCAGACACAGTGAAATGAGTAGATTTCGGATTGATACATGCAGTGGTTAGTCCTGAGAAGAAGAAAAAAAAAAAGAAGTTTTTTTTTTACCGTCATCAGAAAACCTCACAAAACATAAATGGCTTCTCAGCTGTCAGAGGAGAGCTTCTTAGTTATATGGTGAAACAGAGGAAACAGGTGTTTTGTTTTGGCTAGCCAGCGCAGCAGGACTGGCAGCATACTGGTCTGACGACTCTAAAACAGGGTCAAAGGACTCTGAGAAGAGGATTGTGCCGTGTAAGAGCAGCACCTCCCAGGACTTTCTCCACTAACGTGACCAGAGTGAAAGAGCTCATGACAAAATGCATGCCCTTGGGTCTTAGTCAAAAATCTCCTCACATGGAAAAGCCAGCTTGCCAAATGAAGTGTTCGTGGTGAGGTGAGGAGCATAAGGATTGAGGAATAACTGTGGTGACAGGGGTATATACGCAGACGGGGTCTAACATATAGCACTGCAGGTCATTTGACTTAAAGCTGTGAACAAAGCCGTTGTGAGGCAAGTGTCCTAGTTGAGCACACATGATAATCAATGCGATGTGCTGTGTGTAAATAGACTAAAGAGAACACTCAGTCATGTAATGGTACAAAGCAAAGTTGAACTAACTTACATAGATAATAGGATGGGTTTTGATTATCGATTTATCGATTAAAATCGATTCTAGCTTGGATAACGTGATATCGGTTCATTAAAATCCCTAATCGATTTTTAAATATAAATTTATTTTGCCCAAAATGCCAGAATCTCAGGTTAAACCTCACAAAATTTCAACAACCACCAAACAGCTAAAACAGTAAATGAGAGCAGGAGCACGGGTTCTGCACAAAGACGTAAACGCAAAGAGCGGACCCGCCGACGCATCAGAATCAGTGAGATGTCGCCTTTCTCACCCGACGGCACGAACACGGTCGGGGCTGAAAGCCGACAGCTCACCGATTCTGGTGTTTCGCGCTTTGTGTTTACGTCCTTTTTGCGCTAGATTCTGAAGCTGCAGGTTTAATCTCTGACTGAACCCGCAGCAAAAAGATCCAAACTACGCTTCACATAAACATCGTCATGAATTCCCTCCTACTTACTGTTTTGCTTCCACCAAGATAAAAATCACACTTCCTGCACAGCTCTCTCCCTCTCTCAGGAATAGTTTCCCATCTAAAAATCTGTTTTCTGCATTATTCGCTTGCTTATCACCCACTGCCGTTGTTTACAGCGCTGTCGGCCGCTGTTTCTTTTTTCCTTTTACTTACTTCGGAAAAGAAAACCTAATTTCTGCTGTTCAGTATGCTACTGAGCAAATTAAAACTTTTTAAAATTATGCAAAATTGCAAAACCCTTAGCTGTGTCTGTAATAAAACCTCTAACTTTGCTCTGCTTCACTTCAGCAGCATCATGTAATGTTCATATGTTGATTAATGGTTTTCTTTCGTCTTTGACCTACTGCAGAATATTTTTAAGGTCATCTGCTATAAAATCCCAGGCCAGGAAAATCGCTTTCATGTTTTTCTGTGTTTTATGCTGTTTCTTTGACACAAAGGCATCTGCTGTGATGCTTACACCTTTGATAAAGTTTCGCAAGTGTCAGCTTTCTTTTTATAGATAGAAAAATATGGATATGTACTGACACGTGATCAGAATTATAATATTTATGACTGTTTGAGGCAAAATTTCCCTGATTCAAATCGAATAGAATCGGATCAAATCGATTCGGGACCTTGTGAATCGGAATTGAATCGATTCTAGAAATCAGTGACGATACTCAGCCCTAATAGATAACCTTTCAATCTTCACTAGTCACCATCTACAGCACACATGAAGAACTGTAATAACTTTCAGAATTTAATTTTAAAAAAGCTAAATTAAATTCAATGCTTTATTCTGAGCTCCAGGAAGACTTTTATGAGACTTACTGCCAGACATCAGGTAGATGCCGTTGGGATCCACGGCCAGGCTGGTCACTGCATCCAGATGAGCCACCATGGCATGAATCACTTTACCTGCATAGAGGACACAAGGCACACCTAAGCACTTCCAGAAGCCTGAAGGACTCGTTTTTCTCAAGTCAAAATAATTCTGAGTCACTCTGTACACAGTGTCTGTGAAGTGGGAGCTGTGAAACCTGATCTCACCAATCAGGCTCACCATCTTTGGAGTGATGGACACAGCTGGGGAGTAGCTGCAGACTGACCTGACTTGTTATCAAAGAATTTGATGTGTCGATCTTCATGAGCAGTGATGGTTACTGGAAGCGTGGGATGACTCACCACCTTATTTATATGATTTGACCCCGACAGAGCTGAGGAAGGAGAGAAAGGGATAACACTATTTACTGTCCTCAAAAACCCATCACACACCTCATATCTGTTCATGGTTGTTTGTGCTCTTACTGCCATCTCCCTGTCCTTTGAGCAAAAGTGCTTGCTGGGAAGTTTCCAGGTCATACACAACCACGTCTCCGCTATTAAAGGATGCCACCATGTGAGCAGGGTCACAACCATTGAAGTCCACTGATGTGGGGATCCCATGCTCTGTTGACAGATGTAAACATCAGCAAGTCAGTTCAAACTCCCTCCTGCAAAGAAGCGCACCCTTTTTCTTCTTCTTACCATGGTTTGTATTGAAAGTGCTAATGCAGGGGTTTTTCTCTGTTGGGTTCCACAGCTTCACTGTTCCGTCGGCCGAGCAGGACAGGAGGCGGTTTTTGATACCGCTGTATGCCAATCCCCACACAGCGTCCGTGTGTCCTAACCAGGAACCTGCCAGGACGCTTGGATCTGATTGGAAGAGAGATAAGAAATGAGAGGGGCCTTCTGTTTTTATAACTGTACATTCATCTAACTGACAAATATTCCCAATTGAAAGAGAAAACTTTAACAAAGGAAAGACATTTTTGGTGTCTTTGTAAGGTTTTGTGAAATAAAATGTTCCCGAAAAATTGTATTTTTCCCCAAGTAAAGACATCTTTTTAAAATCCAGCATTTTGTTCAGAAAGTAAAGACATGAGGAAAGCAGCCTTAATAGGAGCAGACCTAAAAGAAAAACATTCAAACTTGGGAACCGTGATTCCAAGAATAAAACAAAAAAAGAAAAAGAAATTTTTGGGGGATAGCAGAGCCATGTGAGGTGATCTAAGAAATCTATATTTTTGAAAAAACAAGGAGATCATTATGAAAGGAGACAACCGGTTTACTTGTTTTTCTTTTGGCTGTTACCATAACAAGTCGCCACAGTGGATCATCTCCCCATTATTAGTGTACCCTTCTGCTACACCAGCCCTCTGCATGTCCACACTCAGCATGAATCTTCTCTGTGGTCCCATTTCCTCCTGCCTAGCAGCTTCATTTTCAACATCTTTTGTCCAATATATCCGCTGCCTCTCCTCTGTGCATGCCCAAACATCTCAGCCTTGTCGCTCTAACTTTTCATATCTGCCCAACCTGAGCCGTCTCTGCCATCTTCAGCTTGGCCTCTCCTCTTTTTGTTAGCGCCACTCGAAACTATAGCAGGGCTCACTACTACTTAAACCTTTTCCCTTTCACTTAGTGAAATAGTGTGTACCATAAGTGTCGTAGGGATCAACATTTGAGCTGGGGATGTTCCACCACTGGATGGTTGCGTCAAGACCACCACTAAAACACTGTTCACCACTGGAGGTCATCGCCAATGACAACACTGGTCCACTGAAGACAGAAAAGAGCATCATCACCAGAGGTTTGATAAAATACATATATTTACGGATGATGTCAAGTGCAAACACGTAACCTCGACAGTCATTTAATCCTGCTGGTTACTGAGATCTCTCACTTACACTCACAAAGAGTGTGAGTGAGATCAACATCTAGCAAGTTTAGACATGAGCAGTGAAAAGACCTTTATAACTATAATATACCAAAAATGTTCTATAAATCTAGTTTGTCCAAACATGATATTGATAGTTTTTAGTTTGTTAAAGACATTTTCTGATATTTTAATCAAATTCTTTTTTTTTTAAATATTAAAAAAAACAAAACAACTTTTCAGACATATTTTAATACAGTTTTTATTTTGATTTAGTGTTTTATTTGCATTTTAGTTATTTTTAATTCTACTATTATCTGGCAATTTGGTCCATTAAATTTTCCAGATTTTTTTAAACACTTTTCTGTTACTTTATAACAATTTTTTCCTGGTGTTTGACTTACATTTTCTCAGACATATTTCCTGCTGCTGAGATTATTCTCATGCTGTAGCTACAGGGTGCCTGTCAGTCTTAATCACTAGTAATGCTCATTTATTCATAGCTGCTGCCACTAAAAAGCGTAATTTCTGTCTTCCTGCGGACAGCAGTTCACCACAGGTCTGAAATTACCTTTTTAAAAAAAACAAAAAAAACAAACAAACTACTCACTTCTTTTTAATATTACTTGTGTCACTTAAAACGTGAAGAAATCTGATGTAACTTGAAAAAGTTAAAAACACCATGGAACCTCAACCATCAAGTCAAATAGAGCCTTAGACACACTGTGTGTGTTTGGATACATACACATGGGCTCTGAATGTGTAGATCGGTTCCACATCGAAAGAGGCACTTCTGGAAAAAACAAACAACAACAACAGTGACATAAACAAGCAGATTGTTACTTCATCATCAAACAGACTCTTCTTCAACTCTGTTACAGGCAGCAGTGACTGTTTTTCACTGTACGACAGTAAGTCCTGAGGGGTATTATTTAAAGGGATTATTTGTAAGACACTGACACATCAGAAGCTTGTGGTGTGAGTTTGATCAGAATAGTGCCATGGAAACGCAGTGATGAGGAGAAAATGAGATGCTAATACTGAAAGGATCTGCCAGGTTTGTAAGGAGAGGATTTTCCTCTGAAGCAGAGTGAATAAAAGCTTTTCTATGTGATGAGGAAATACTGTCCATGCTGAGCGTTCTTTTCTCAACCGACTGAACTTTTTCTTCTTTCTTTTTTTTAAATTTAGGATACCCTTTAGAAAATGATTTTTGCTTTGATCACAGCTTTGCAATGTTGCCAGTATTTCAACCAGCTCTGAGGTCTTCACTGCAAATGGTTTCCAGAAGCAACCGTTGCAACAAGTTAATCACTGGAAATTCTTTCTTCAATACAAGACCATCACTTAGGTTGTGTTAATGTAATGCTGGTATAGAGCAAACAGCCTTATTTAACTATTGCAGTAATCCCAGTCATGGCAAGAACTGTTCAGCTAAGAGAAACAAGCATAATCATGCTGTAACTAGAGAAGGTCCCATTGGGATCACAGCAGCAAAGACTAAGGTGTTCAGGGGCTGGCTATTTAAGTAAAGGCAATGTCTTATTTTACATAAACAAAGTCATCCAGGTCATTGTAGTCTAAGGAGCTTGAAAAGAAAAGAGTCTGGACTTCTTTAGGTTTCTTTGAAAACGTTTCACCTCTCATCCGAGAAGCTTCTTCAGTTCAGAACTGAAGAAGCTTTTCTTTCCAAGCTCCTCAGACTATATATTTTGGTGTAATTTATGCCAGAGTCTTTTGATTATTCTGGTAGTTCTGCTTGGAGGTTTATGTGTACATCTGGTGTTACTCTACTTTTTGGCAGGGACAGTCTTGGTGAGGTTCCACAGTTTAAGGGTGTGATCCTCGGACACGGTGACCAGGCAGGGCTCAACGGGGTGAAAGTCCAGTGCTCGGACACCATCGAAGTGGCTCCTTAGCGTGTACTTGGGGTTCCATGTCTTCCTGAACGAAGACTCCTTACTGGACGGCAGCTGAGGAAAAGAAGATGTCAATGTTAGGGCAATTTCTAAAGAATGTTTGAGTTTTAAACTGCAGCTTAGGTTTTTTTTTTCCCCTTACATCATAGCCATAGTCTGTTTCATCGTTGGTGACTGTGAGGTCGGCAAGGTCACCCAGTCCCAGCACGCTCTCCAACACATCATCTGACCCCCCAAGTAAGAAGGACTTCCCCCCGCCAGTAGGAAATGGTAGAGGCTCCGCTGAAGAGTGAGAGGCTTTAATAAACACACTGTACCTCTCTATTACAAGATTATATTCATTAGCTGTTGTCATAATGATTTTACAGCCACACAATTCATTAATTGGATAAAATAATCATGAATAATTTACAATTTGCATTTGTTTATTTAAAGTGAATATCATTCAACAGACAGAGCAAAGGACACAGCCTTCATATATTTACAATCAGTGGGATTCATGTACATCTCTTACCCCATTCTGTCCCGTCTCCGGAGCTCCGAGCCTCACCCGCCCCTTCTCCATCCTCAGCCGTCACCAAGAAGTCAAACTCCTTTAGAGCCTCCTCTGTGTCGGCATCATCCTCTGACGCTAAGCCCTCGTTTCCCACCTGAAATAGCAGGAGAGGAAAGAGAGAAAAAAAACAAAAAACAAAACACAAGTTAAGAATTAAGGAAGAGGTGTTGAAGGACACCTCTTCCTTTAAAAGGGGCTGCCTGCTCTCTGTTTACCTTGGTCTTATGTTTCTTGGCTCTGTGATGTTTGTCAGTGGTGATGTCATCCATCAGGTCCCCCTCCTCATCATCGTCTTCATCGCTGTCTTCTGTGTTTTCCAGAAAGTTAAAAGTCTCCAGAACATCACCTGGACTCCTGGATATAAACACCAATGTTGTTACACTTAAGTTGTCTGCTGGGTTGTGTTTGTGCTTGCACTGTCAGTGTGGTGGGAGATGTCACACTGGGGAGACTTGGCTCCTTTTCATGTGAAAGCGATATTAGGTTAGGTTTGGGTTCGGGCCCACTATCTTAGGCAAAGGCTAGGTCATGGTTATAATAACTTAAGGCAAATGTTAGATTCAGATATAGCTAGAATAATATAAACACTGACCCACTGACCAGCATGAGAGGAAGGGGATGTGGTGCTGCTCATGTTGAGATGGTAAACACAACAGTGGACAGTGAGAATCCATGTTTTACAGTGGGGCATGAAACAAAATCAAGCCTTGAGAGCAAAGAAATGAAGCTTGATGCTGAATTAACTTATTATAGATAGGCAAGTAAGCAGTTTGTTACAAAGGAACTAACAATTTGTGTTTGTTTTGCTGTTTTATGTTTTTTGTTACTGGAGCGGTTTTCACAAAAGCTGAAATCAGTAAAGTACTGGCTAGTACTGCATGTGAACAGCTGTGCGTGTGTCTGTACCTTTTGTCCTTGCGGCGCTCGGTCCCATTGATCAGGTGCTGCAGGTTCTTGTTCTCCACAGATCCATTCTGCTCTGAGCCCGACAGGCCAAGCAGAGAGCGAACCCTCTGAGTACGAACGTCCAGGATGGTGTCTGTGTATCCGACTTCCTGTAGGTACCTGACCGCCAAACAAACACGTGCACACTGTAAACTACACATCATTTGGTCAAATACTGATTTTCGTTAACAAATTAATTCAAAAAAATATTTCAGCATTTTGCTTCCACTGCAAATACAAGTGCTCAAATGTTCTTACTGTCTGAGCAGCTGTCTTCCTTGTTTCCAGGTGAGCTGACTGTTGGCATGAACAGCAGAGACCTCTGAATCTTTGGTGTCTAAGGACAAAAACAGAAACAGTGATTTATACAGCACTGCCTGCTGGACACAAAACAGAGATGGCTTTCATCAGTTGTATTTAAAGCTGTGAGTTACTTCAAGTCTAAGAAGAAAGGTCAGGAGTCCATCAATCAATCCATCTTCTTATGCTTATCCAATTCCAATTAACAATTAACATTTTAAAGAACTGCGTATGATGAGGGATTTACATCACAGTGTTTAATGCTCATGTGTTTCCGGTTTATTACAAAACCCCACTAACTGCATGTCTTTAAACTGTGGGAAGAAGCCCGAGTACCCAGCGAGAACCCATGCAGATACAGCATGAAAACTCCAAACACAAAGACCCTGGCCAGGTGACTGATTTGAACGCAGGAGTTTCTTGCTGTGAGGCGACAGTGCTAATCGTTGCACCACCATGCTGCCCAGGGGCTAAGAACCTACATCTTTTATATGCAGTCTATAAAAGGCCACACTGAATATAAAGCATGTGTACAATGAGAGATTAGTGGAGGGGAGTATGACATCATACCTGATTCAAAACTTGGCATCTTCATTTCTCCTTGGTTTAGCTCTGTTCCATATTTTAACTTGTGGTATTTTGCTCTGAAAATGGAAAAAAGAGAAACTAATCATCAACCAATCAATTGACATGGTTAAAAATTAAAATTAACATAACATATTTTTAATGCATATTTTCTGTCACCCCCAAAACAGTGAAAAAAGCTCAAAGTGTGTGGTCTAAGAGAAGGGAAACAGATTTCCACCATAGCAAAAGTGAAAATGTAAATGGCTTAAACAGATTAAACTAAAAGAAGGCTTTGGCAGATTCTTTATCAGTGAAACAGAAAGAATCTGAAGTATACAAATAATCTATTACATCACTAGTGCACAAAAGCAACCCAAGAATCACAGAACGAAGCAGTAATTTAACAGCAGTCTGAAGCAGAACTATAGAAAGCTAATTAACTTTGTATTCAAACAAATTAAACATATCCCTTTAATACACTAGTCCAGGTTATTTGGTATATTAACTTCTGTGCTCTATATTTCAGAGTACCTGTGCTGCTTGGAAAATAAGCAAGTGGCAGACACTGAGACGACACACCCAAAGACAAACTTCTAATCCATCACAACATAACCCTGACAAGCTATCCAAGCATGCCAATGACTGTGAATGAATTAGCCTTCTGCAAACTGAAGTGAAAGACTCGGCACAGTGAAATAAAAGTATTTGCTCCTTTCTTGACTTCTTTGTTGGTTTTTTTTGCATGTTTGTCACAAGTTTCAGATTGTTGAACAAATTTTGATATTAGACAGCCCTCGTACAAAAAACAAAACACCGTTTTAGATGATGATTTTACTGAAAAAGTTATCCAAACCTACCGGGCCCTATGTGGAAAAATGAATACCGTATTTTCCGCACTATAAGGCGCACTTAACATCCTTTAATTTTCTCAAAAATCGGCAGTGCGTCTTATAATCTGGTGCGCCTTATCTATGAATTCTGGCTGTGTTTACTGACTGTAGCAATGGGAATTGCATTTACCTGTGTGTTCCACCCGGAGTCTCTGCTTCTCACCTTCCGGTGTTACACTCTCAAGACTCCGGGCGGAACACACAGGTAAATGCAATTCCCATTGCTACACTGACCTCGAGCTGATTTTATGTGGTACACAGCGCTCAAAAATCTGTCAAAAAATGTTTTAGTAGGACTTTGCTAAGCTACGAAGCTGCACCGCTTGATGAATTGTCTGAGCGTTATGGCTACCGTAGTCAGGAGCCTTGCGGCTCATAGTAATCTGGGTCCAAAACTCCGTCCATGTCAGGTCCCAAACAAACACTGTGTAAATTCTTTCATCTTTAATAAAATGATCAGTGTTGCTGCTTTACCAGGTGTATCAATTAAGTTAAACATCCAGGCATCCATGAAAACAGAATTTATTAAATTAAACGGAGTTAGAAGTTAGCAGGAAGTTAGTAGATAGTTAGCTCGCTGGTTTTGCTAGTTACCTTAACATGGTATATCATGTTCTGACTGAGAGATTTCTGGAAAAAAATAAAACGTACAGCTCTGCTATCACTTCCAACATGAATGTAGAGAGAAAGCTACACAATAGTGATGTTTGTAGGATTACTGAAGTTGGGCTAGATGGTATATAATGCTGTGCTAGTGATCGCTAGCGACACCGCTATGTTAGCATACCAAAGCATAAAACTGAACCTGGAGAATGAACGCTAACCTTTTTCCACTTTTTTTGACAAATGCAATCGCCTGGAAAATTGCTGTAAACGGACCAAACTTCAGTAGGAGAGAACAACTGAGATAGTTCAGCCACAATATGAGGTTAGTCATTAATGTAAGATAAGATAACCTTTATTAGTCTCACACGTGGGAAATTTGTTACAGCAGAAAGTGGACAGTGCAAAGTTACATAGCAAAAATTTGAAAAACACTGGAATAACATATACTGTTGTTCCAGCGTTTATAGAGCAGCTACCAGAGAATTCAACATTAATGAATTAATGGTATGGAAGTGGAGGAAGCAAGCGGAATGAGTTGAGTAAAGTTTGACTTTTCTGACTGATTTGTTTAGTTAAATGCGCTTTATAATGCGGTGCGCCTTATGTATGAACACAGACCCGTTTGTCGACAGTGCGCCTTATGGTCCCATAAATACGGTAGTCCTCTAACAACGGGTTGGGCGCCAGTTTAGCTCAGTCAAGATGAGCAGGCGACCATATGCCGCATGGCTGAAAGTGGCCGGCCCAGGTTCAAGTGCGACCTGTTCCCCTTTGCCGCATGTCTTTCCCTCTCTCTTTCCCTCCACTTTCCTGTCGATGTTCGCTGTTTCTATCCAATAAAGCCAGTAAAAAGGCAAAAAATTATATATTTAAAAAAGAAAAAACCCTAATAATTGGTTGTGCAACCCTTAGCAGCAAAAACTGGCAATGGATCCTTCCCACTGTGGAGGAATTTTGGTCCACTATTTTTTAGCAGAGTTGTTTAAATTCAGTCACATTGGAGGGTTTTCTAGCATGAATGACTTATTTAGCAAATCAGATTTAAATCCGGAGTAGTCCGCTCAAAAACTTTGATTTTATTTATGGGTTTGTTTGTTTTCTTGTTTTTATAAAGTCATTCAGAGGTGGGCTTGCGTGTGTGTTTTTGGATCATCGCATAAGCCAAGTGGGATGAATTGATGGCTGGAAACCAGGATTTTCTGGTACAGAGCACTTTTCATGATTCTGAAGCAGTAAAGCAGCCTCAGACAATCACACTACCATGTTTGACTGTTGATGATTTATGACATGCTGCGTGAGTTTTACAGCAGATGTAACAGGACACAAACCTTCAAAAAAGTTCAAATTTTGTCTCATCAGTCCACAGAGTATTTTCCCAAAAGTCTTGAGAATCATCAAGATGCTTTTCGCACATGTGAGACGAGCCTTTGTGTTCTTTTTGGCCAGCAGTGGTTTTCTCCTTGGAACTCTTCTATGGGTGCAATTTTTACTCAGTCTCTTTTTTTATTACTGAAACCTGGACACTGATATTAACTGTGGCAAGTAAGACCTGGAGTTGTTCTGGGTTCTTTAGCAGCCTCCTGCACGAGTGTTGTTGCCCTCTTGGAGCCTGGATGTGGCTAGTGAAATCAAACGCAGATTTCCAAAAAATGCGGTTAATCTCTGTTACTTTACGATTTAACAAGGGAGGCAAATACTTTTTCAAACAGGTCAACTTTGTGACAAAACTGTATATTGTACATACTTGGATTATCTTTGTCTGGTATAACAATTTGTTTGATCTTCTGAAACATTTAAGTTTGACAAACGAGGAAAAAACCCCCACTAAGAAATAAAAAAAGGCAGCAAATATTTTTTCATGGCACTGAAAATAAGGAAATTAAAGATCTAACGGGATTTTTTTTTAAAGATCAGCAGTGATCTAAAGTTATAGTTGGTAGCCTTCAGTGTGAAGTCCAGTTTAACCCCTACGGATCACCAACAATTCAACTGAATTTTATTTACACAGCACCAGTTAACAACAACACAATTCACCTCAAGACATGTTATATTGTAAGGTAAAGAGACCCTCTAATATATTATGAAGATTCTGTGTCTTACCTTTCCTGCTTTAATGCATATTCTAACATTTTTATTCTTCTAACCAGGTCATGCTTCAGGTTTTCCTGGCCCTTCCTCTCCCCCTGCAAGAAGGCTATCCTCGCCTGGAGAAACATACAAACAAAGCATTAATGAGGAGTTCAGTTTACAGTATAATTATTCATTTAAAATGTTTAAAAACCTTTAATTACAGGATGAAACATGTCAGTACGTAATAAAAATTTCTTCTTTAATGGAATTTCCATAAACCCGCACTGTACTGCAAATTTACCCACGATCGGGTGATCGTGGCTCAAGAGTTAGGAGTTCGCCTTGTAATCGGAAGGTTGCCGGTTCGAGCCCCGGCTCGGACAGTCTCGGTCGTTGTGTCCTTGGGCAAGACACTTCACCTGTTGCCTACTGGTGGTGGTCAGAGGGCCCGGTGGCGCCAGTGTCCGGCAGCCTCGCCTCTGTCAGTGCGCCCCAGGGTGGCTGTGGTTACAATGTAGCTTGCCATCACCAGTGTGTGAATGTGTGTGTGAATGGGTGGATGACTGGATATGTAAAGCGCTTTGGGGTCCTTAGGGACTAGTAAAGCGCTATATAAATACAGGCCATTTACCATTTACCATATTAGAATATTTCTTTCGTTTTGCGTGGAAACTCAAAGACAAGAAAGAAAGATGATGATCAATTAGAATTACTAGACTCTGGACTCTTTTTGACCAGTGAAGTCCTCTCACCTGTCAGAAAGCAATGCTTCCTGTCTCACTAACCACACCTGTCTGTCAGTCAGTCCAGCAGCTGCTCTTGAAACCCAACACTAATAGGTCCCAAGAGCCATTTATACACAGTGTTCTCTGCCAGCGTGCCCATATTGACATGGCCTGGTAACAGGAAAACCAAAGGTCCTCCCCCAGATTGAAAGAGACAGCCAGAGTGGGAAGGAGAGAGTGGTCAGGGGTAAACTGGGATGTGAGAAAGAAGATTACATAACAAACCACACTATTTCAGCCCCGCTATGATTGGCCAGCTCTATGACTGACAGCCACAGCTCCACGGCAACCCCCGAGATCACTCTGACATACCAGAATATGTGCGTGAGAGTGTGTTAGATGGTATAAGCCGTGAATGCATGCACGCAGCGTTACAAGAACGGCACAGTGTGCTTCTTCTGTTCCTGGTGAACTCTGAAATAGGAGAAGTGTGTCGCTGCCTTCTGCTTAATTTATGCTAGTACATTTATTTCCATTTACATATGTATTTGCCTGTAGGGAACTACCAAAAGGGGTTTTTCAGTCCCGGCAAACTTGTTCCCATGCAGTCCTCTGAAAATCCCAAACTGTAATGTTGGAAAAAGCGACAGCAGAGTTCACCCTGACTGGATGAAATGAGGAAAAAGAAACCCTAAAGATCATAAAACACGGTATGAAAAGTGCAGACACTGGTTATGGTGGACACTTTTCATTGTTTTTAACGCTCAGTTTCACTTCAGCTTTTGGTATGTTAAAGAGCATAGGACAGACTGCTTGTATCATCCATTTTCACTCTTCAGGACTACTTGTCAACTAGTGATGGGATTTCTGGCTCTTTTCAGAGAACCGGCTCTTTCGGCTGCTAACCGGCTCTTCAGGTTGTTTTGTTGCTTTAATTAATTAATTGGAGGCTGCGGTCTGCGACCAGCTCCCGGTGCAGACGGCTCCCTGTTATAGTGTTTCCTCACTTGGCTCATGCGAGTCCAGCCCAATTTTTACTCTTTAAGTGTGCGCGTGTGTGTGGGTGGGGGTGGGGGGATATATGTGTATTGAGAGTGTGGGGAGTGAGTTGGAGGGTGGGGTGGGCTGCTTTTAACTATGTAAAGCACTTTGTGCTACATTTTCTCTGTATGAAAAGTGCTTTATAAATAAAGATTGATTGATTGATTTATTATTAACAACAATATAAAATTATGCACAAAAGGAATTACTAATGTAAAAACAAAAAAACAAAAAAAACCCCACGTGGTTTTAAAAAAAAATAAAAAATACGGTGGCCTAGGGCTGTTCGATATAACGATATATATCGGATGACGATATAAAAACATCTATCGTTTCATTTTACGCTATCGTTTGTTTCGTGGTGT